GTGACGTAGACATGTTGGGGGCGTGTTAGAACGAGCCGTTTTAGGAGGGCGTGGACAAGTCTTAACTTTTATAACTTTTATATCTTATCTATTCACTAACAGCTTGTAACACTCCAAAGAGAAAGGAAAATTTGAAATGGCATCATATGACCCCTTTAAGCGGCCAAATACACACAAAATTGTCAAAATGCCCGCCTGGTGAGTATGCTCATAAACACAGTCGGTTTTGTCTTAAGTGAATGTAAGCAGTTGTTGAGAAAGAAAACCATTGTATGTATCAGAATATTGGATCCGTGCGGTCGGCCTTAAAGGGACAGCAGCCTAATAAAGCTGTGCCGTCTGTCATTATTGTTAATCAAACAACAAGAGACAAAAAAAAAAAAAAGATCAATCACTGCTCTTGACTAAATAACTTTTTTAACTTTAATTTGAAGGATTAATATGGTTTTAATTTACAGTTTATTTAATTTCTGTATATTTCTGTACCTGAATACTAGGCTACTTGTTAGACCTAAACGGTTTCCTAAATGCAATTCAGGTCCTGAGTTTAGTTGATAATATTGGTTAAATAAATTGTAATATTCAATGATGTAATATGTTCTCTGCGTGGTGTAACGTCTGGCACAGTCGCAGCTTGTCCTTATTACTATAAACAAATAGAAAGCAAATTAGTAGCATTAATAGTCATTAACTTTAGTTAACATATGCAATGATAAATTTGAACATAGATTTTTATTCTTATTTTACATGTATACTTGTAAAATAATGGAACATTAGGTCATGAATATTGTCTCAAAATTCATGGAAATGTATTGCTAAAAATGTGTACGAACCATGAATGTAACAACATTTCATGTTTAAAACGAGCAAATATTGTCAATAGGGTACGAAAACGTGTTTTCCCTATGAAATATTTTCTGAGAAAATAAAAAAATTTCTGAGCCCGTTGGCATACATATTTGGGTAACACTTTACAATAAGGTTCATTAGTTAACATTAGTTAACTACTTTAGTTAACATGAACTAAGAATGAACAATACAGCATTTATTAATTAATTTCAACATTTACTAATGCATTATTAAAATCAAAAGTTGTGCTTGTTTACATTAGTTAATGCACTGTGAATTAACATGAACTAACAATGAACAACTGTATTTTCATTAACTAACATTAACAAAGATTAATAAATA